ACTATGATCAAAACACGGTAACTGTTGTAATGTAACATTATTTGCTAATTATGTAACATTAATTGCCAGACATTTTGCTGTAGCAGAACCTCTGACCGTACTTTTATGTAGGACCTTATTAACTGTTGTTTGCATAACGTGTCTTTTATGAATCTGTTTAGTCCCTGTTATTTTCCCTGCCCATATATACAGTATCAGTGACTTTTTGAGAAAGTCCTATTATTTCTGCTAAATAAGTTCATATGAATTCATTTTACTAAAAGAAATGTCTCAATGTGCAGAAAAGTAAGCTTTACAATATGTCTAATAAATTGAACTTTCCCAATGACACTTAGAGTCACAAAATTTAGAAGGTCACTGATAGTCACTGTTAACATTTGGACACTGAAAGCCTGGGGAGAGGGCTCCAGAGAAAAGGAGTCCTTTGTGCTGTGTGTTGCTGAACTTCAGGTAAAGCTCCTAGGAGTCAGCATCATAGCATAAACAGCATCCATACTGCTCTCATCATTGTTCTGTATTAACAGATATTTCTATTTTGGATGTAGGCCTAATTACATACTGCTATCTTCATGCTTTAGCAGAATATTTAATATCCTTTGAATGAAGGGGTCACTTTATGAATTCTTATGGCTGGCATGGCCTTGAATAGATACATCGTAAGGTCTATAGACAGGAAGAGGACAGGCAGAAGCCAGCCTCAGAAAAAGGGAGAGGCAGCTAGAATGAAGGTCTGTGTTGTGCACTGCTCTCACCGGGACTTTATGTAAGGGTCCTACCAGTCATTCAAACCCTCTTTCCAGGAGGTGAATAGTGAGGCTGAATGGACTTGATTGTAAGTCTCTTTCCCCCCCCCTTCCGTGTTAGCAGTAATAGCAGTGGGAGAGCCAAGCAACTGGTCAAGTGGCCTGGTAACAGAGCTGGTGACTGGAGAAGGATTATAATTACGGAAGGAAAAGAGATGATGGCAGTTGGGTGGGTTCCTCATAGGGAGTTGACCCAACACCAGGTGAAATCACTCACAACTGGAACAGAGACTGAAATTCCCCATGTTGTAGCAGCACAAAGTTGCAAGACCGTGGAACACGACGACTGGTGAGTTGACGCTAGCTGGACACCAGGTGCCCCCCAAAGTCGCTCTGTCACTTCCCTCCTCAGCTGGACAGAGGAGGGAAAATACAATGAAAGGCTCATGGATCAAGATAAGGACAAGGAGAGATCACTAAAAATACCAACCATGAATGGGGTGTTACAGAGAAAGTGGAGAAATGAAATACCAGTTACATGGTGAGGAAAATCAGGCAAAAGACTACTGCCCATGATATGCTCAGAGGATGTGTCAGTGGCAACTGGCAGGGGCAACAGCAGAAAGGACTGAGCCAAATACTGCATTGAGGACAGTGCAGCCCCTGGACCAGGCAGTGCTAACGGGGCTGGAAGGGAAAAATAACTGCCCAGTGAGCCTTATTTGTAAAGTTGTACTAACTACTCAGAGAGCATTAAGTGGACAAGTTTGTGCCCACTGGGGCACATAACCCTGAAATTCCAGCAGAATGTAAGAAAACACTTTTCTATTGTGCATGTGACTGAGCACTGGCACAGGTTGCCCAGAGGCTGTAGAGTCTCCATCCTTGGAGATAGATACTCAAAACCCAATCAGAGACAGCCCTGAGCAAAGTGCTTTAGCTAACCCTGCTTGAGCAGGGGGCTGGACTGGACAAAGTTGAAAGGTCCCTCAAGCTCAGCTGTTGTGGGATTTGCTAGTAGCTTTTTCTTAGTTTCTTGTTCTGTTCACTCTCCCACTAAAAGAAGGCTCACAGTGAAACTAACCATTGCATCTATTACTTTGGGAAGGCAGAAAATTTGAGGCTCTATGTGCATTTTGATATAAAGTGCATTCAATGCAATGCAGAGTAATTGGGTTTTGCAACAGCATACTAGCGATGAACAGGCAGATGCTGCCATTGCTGTGTTCAGCTTTGCTTCTGAATGGAAGATTAGCTCAAGAATACCACCCTCTGCTATTGCAAGGCTGAAGCGATGACCCAACTCCTTAGCAATCAGCTACTAAATACCATATAATAGGATCATAGAATGGTTAGGGTTGGAAGGGACCTAAAAGGTCATCTAGTTTCAATGAGAAAAGGCAAATGCACTTTCCACTAGACCAGGTTGCTCAAAGTCCTGTCCAACCTGGCCTTGAACACTTCCATGGATAGGGCAGCCACAACTTCTCTTGGCAACACCTACCGCATCTAACTGCCCTCATAGTAAAGAATTTCTTCCTAATACCTTATCTAAATCTACCCTCATTGAGCTTAAAGCCATTCCCCCTTGTCTATCCCTACATGCTCTTGTAAAATGCCTCTCAAGTTATACAATTATTATATTCTGTAACATGCAGCATGCTACAGTTGTGATGACAGTAACGCGCTGTTTCTTTAACTTACAGATAACTGTGGCAGTAACTGAGATTTTCAGGTCTCAAACATGCTTCTGAAATGTCCACGGATTACCAAAGTTGCTCAATATACAAGGAAGTCAGAGTAAAGTGATACCTGGACTAATTACCTGGAAATGGCAGCTTGAGGCTGCATAAAGCCCCATCTGATTAGCATTCAGTGTCAGTGCTGGAAAATAAGGGAGAACAGAAACTAACAGAGCAACAGAAAGATGCAAGGGTACTGCTTCCTACCTGTCCTTCAGACTCTTCTCCCTAATGAACCCCGCTGCAGCACTTGCAGCCTGCTCAGGAGGTGGCTCGGTAATGAGAGGTATTGCTGCGGTACTGGGCAATACCGACCTGTGGGTTGGGGAGCTGGTGGGGCACGTGGATGCCCACCATGTGAAAGCCAGGCTCCAATGCCTGTCCCCTCCTTCGGCGGAGATAAGAAGAGTATGAGAGATGGTAGGACACCTCCCAGCCTGGCATCAAGGCTGGGAGTAACCGGCCAGCAAAGTCTTGCAAGGTGGCTTTTTAAAGGAAAATAATGGCAGTTTGCCTTAAATTGGTGTTTGCAAGCTGTGGCAGTTCAGGAGCTGATAAGTGGCTCTCAGTTCAGGCAAAGTACGGAGGCTGGGATACTCAGTTTTAGTTGGAGTCTGCTTGTTCATTCTGTGCTACTGACTTCAAATCCATTGGCACACTTCAATCAAATCAAATAAGTTTTGTAAGAATCAGCAGCTGGGCAGAGGCATAAAGTTCACCTTAGGACACAGAGACTTAAATACATGAGAAATCTATACACAGGAGATTTTGTACTGTGGCCCAGGGAAAAGAAAAAACGAGCTTAATTCAGCAGTCTAAGCTTAGGTGTCTAGTTTTAGACTCCCTTGAGTATCCTGTCTGGCCTTCAGTTGTTGCTCCAGAAGGACTCGGATCTCCTGCATGTTCTATGTCAACTGCATGTGGAGATCTTCATTACTCTAGGGTATCTTGAATGCCAACAGATTGCTAGCTGTGGGAAACAGAACTGAGCTTACTGGGCTTATCTGCTTATTTGCAGTAGGTCCATGATGAGTTTAGAGTTCAGATAGATATTACCAAAATAATGTCTCCGCTGAAGAGAAAAGGTCTATTTCAGCTCAGTGGTTGCTTGGTCTCTCTGGATGGGCAACCAGCCACCAGTGCCTGGTCAATCAATAGAAGCATAGCTCAAAACCAGGCACAGTACGCATCATCCCATATCTGGTGTTAGTTAAGGAGTACAGCAGGGAGCTGGGTTGCTGGCAGGTAGATGCGTGCAGAGAGGATGGAGGCTGTAGGCATTGTCAGGGGAGAGTGATCTACAGGAGAGTTGGTCTAATTCCAAAGGGTGAACTCACAAGAGAAATGCTGGAGATTAGTTAGTATTATGGTACTGGTGAAGCTGTAAAGTACAAATCCAAAGGAGATAAGGCTTTATTAGTTCTGCTAGTCTTTTTTCTTTTAGGTAGTTCTAGTTGTTTTTTTCCTTTTCTTCCTGAAACACTCTGAAATGATGTTTTTTTAATGAAAATCTCTCTCAGATCCTTATCCCCAAATGACTGATCAGCCTTAACAAGCAACCAGACTTGAACAGTTATTCAGACAGCTGAATAACTTAGCAACAATATAAAAACAGCCATCTGGGAAAAGTCTTGTCAACTCTTCAGAACCAATGCAGAGGTATTCTAGGCACATACATGAGAGAGGTTAAGATAGGTTGGCTTGTACTCTGCATTTTGACATAGAGATTGATGGCTGGTATGAAGACTGAATATACCAGTTTAAGCTGTCATAGGGATCTATCAGACAAGAGACTGAGTGAAAATTTAAATTGTGTTGGAGAAAAAGACATTTCCCCTTTTCCATGTCTCATTATTAGCCTTCAATTTTGCTGGGAGCAAAATTTTCTTAATTGGGAAGGGTTATTTTGCCTTTTGCAAAACAAAGGCAAAGGAAAACATAACTTTGTTATGAGGGAGGATTATGTCCTGCACTGTGGTTAAGCCTATATGTAGTTTTTAAGGTAAACTGAATGCACTTAATTCTTAGAAATGAGAATTAGCAAATACGTATCTCATGCCAGCTTAACTCTTCTAGACTTTAACCATGTATGTCCACTGAAGGGTTCTGTCAGACTATATTGGACATAACGGACCAATTTATAGTTCCAGTATTCCCTCAAGTTTTGATTATAGCTTTACTGAGAACTGCATCAACTTGCACATCTGATGCTGATTTCCAAGGACTGGGATGAAAGCCACATAGAGCCACCATTAAACCTGGCATGCTGGCTAAGACTTTTTGTAATACATCTTTAATCCATGGGAGGAAGCTAGTCAAGGTTTTACTTATAGATGACCAAGTCTTCAGGTTGCATGAATTAACTGTCACATTGAAGTTGACAGAGTTATGCTGATTTAAATAAGTTGAGGTTCCAGCCTAGACAGTGAATGAGAAAGCAAAGCAGGGCAGGGAGTGACAATCAGTTTCAAGGAACATTTGAAAAACTTGACCATTAGTCCGAGGCAGTACTTACATCCTGGTTGGACATCTCCCAGTATGGTCTCTCACCGTAGGACATCACCTCCCACATTACAATCCCATAGCTCCACGCATCACTCGCTGAAGAGAACTTCCGGTAAGCTATAGCTTCAGGAGCGGTCCACCGTATGGGGATTTTTCCGCCCTGGAAAATATGATACAAACTTGTCAGTATGACTAGAATACAGAATAGCATGTGTCTAAAAGAAAAGAGAAAAAAAATCCTGGGTTCGACATTCTCTCTCCTGTCAATTTGCCTTGTCAATTTGCTGCAAGTGGAAGGGAAGAAATACACCTTTTCTAGAAGTTGATAAAAATTCATTTTCCTTTCTAGCCTAATTCACCAAAAGCAGCACTTTGTGGAAAGAAAACTCAGTTCAAAGAAAGGAAAGCATTTTAGATGATTCATGTTTGTTCAGTCATATAATTAGAACATGCTTTTTGATTTAAAACATCTAAAGCCTGAATTTCCTAGTACATTGACATTAAAACACTTTCCTTAAATAAAACAAACATCTATTGCAAAATGGAACAACAAAAGCACTTAATACAATGATATAATCAGAAAGGAAACTATAGGCTTTCTATTGTTCTTTACTTTAGATAATCTCATTTAATTTTTGTTGTGCCCTTTAAATATCCAGGTAAGTAGCAAACCAAGTGTGTTTCTAATAATGTGTTTCCTTGGGATATTGAATAGTTTCATTCTGTAGCTTTCAACTTAAAAGCCAAATACCACCATACACAAAAACTAACCAACCAACCAACCAACAAAAGGTAAGAATTCAATCAACAAACCTGACTTATTCTTTACCACAGGATGCAGAACTTCTCTCTGACATTAGTAATTTAAACCTTCAATCTCTTATATTTTCCCACAAATAGTTCACACACCAAAACTACCTTTCCTTTTCAGAATAAGGTATTTCTTCTCCAGATATATTCATCTTTTTGAAAGTATACAGTTTTCTTTTCACAAGTATACATTTATTATCATTCTCAACTCTCTAAAAAGTATATATAAAGAGCAGTACGCTTAAGGTGCCACTAGATGGTAGAAGGAGGCAGTCAGCAGCAGCTACTTTCAACAAGCAGTAATAGATTCTGCTCAGCGTTATAATTGTATTTCTGACTAACAAAAGAAGAAATGAACTAGAACATCCTCTTGGCAATCAAATAGAAGCCACAGTGAAAAACAAGTATGTAAATCTCTGTTAATTTGCTTTGAATATATAAAAAATTGTCTGCGAGTTGCTGAGGCCTGACTTCAACTGCCTGAGAGGATGGTTGTTTTACCAAAAGAGTGCTCAAAAGCAAAGCTCTGTGTGTTGATGTGCCAGTAAGCTAAATTCTCATCACCAAGTCTCACCTGCTGATGAAAAATCTATGGTTAACATTCGCATTGTATGGGAGGTATGACAGTAGCCGAGATGTCCTTTGTATGATGTTACTGGTTTTGCAGCTGCTTTTTTAAAACCTTAGCTTGCTCAGTTGTAGTTGAAGTCAGTGGCAAACCACTTACTGATTTTAGCAGTAGCAAGGTAAAGATAGTACTTTATTACACTGTTTATTACTCTAATCAGAAATAGGAAATATGTTTTCAGCTACTCTAAACCTTATGTTTCTTTTATTATGCATGAGCAGCTATTGCTGTTCAGTCATATATATCTCTTAAGAATTAAATTTACAGTATTAAAAAACACTGTATTTTTGCTGATGCACCTCCCCTACCTGCTTTCCTTAATCCAATAACCTGGTGGTCATATCACTCCTCTGGCATGTCAGAGGTGGAAAGGACTTTACACCCCACCTGCTGCCATCTCTAAGCCTGCCCTTGCCAGCACTGCAGGACACTACTGGTTCCTTCCTGGTACAGCTGTTCCGCTTAGGAAGCAATTAACAAATGCTTTGGATATGAGAATGAAGAAAGAGGGTGACAGAGGAGTTTTGTGAGAAGACATTCTCCAAGGAAAGGCCAGCCGAATCTTGTCTCTTACCCAGGAAATAGTTAAACCTTCTAAACAGATTGGATAAGAGCATTTTGTGTTTGATCTCACAGCCTGGTTGCAGTGGTGTTTTGGTGGGATATGTGAGTCTAAGCTTTCTGAGGCAGTGGAAGACGTAGATACTCAGTGCCTCAAATGCACACTACACACTGAGCTGTCCAACCAAAAGGATTTTTCCTCTGAGAAGCAAAACACTTTAGGGTTTAAGTGCAAAGTATAATTCAAAATACCACCTCTAACTACAGAGTTATGGGCCATATCCTTTTTACTGGATTGGGTTTAGTCCTTTATTTTTAAGCATTTTATTGTCCAATGTATGTAATTCCACCCTTAGATCCCTGGCTTCTGCAGCTTTTTGGAGACAATATTTTCCTGGCCAAACTCACAGGTAGGAACTTAACTCCCACTTTGGAGCTGGGCACATGCACTTTTAAAAAGGTAAACAACAGTCATGCTTATCTGTGTCACAAGAGTCGCCGCCCAGACAACCCTCAATGCCCTTCCTCAGCAGCAGCATATCAGTCCTGGCTGTTAAATGATGTAGAATGTGAGACACTTGTTCAAGCTCAGGAGTTCACTGTCTTAACCTTGTCTTACCAGGCAATCCTCTTGATGCCTTTTCCTTCATATCTACTCAAGATACTTTTTGGACTGCTACAATATTTGAGGAAGCATGCAAAAATGAAAACTCCGTATTTTCTTTTCTTATCACAGATCTCAGGAGATGACAGGAATGGCTGTGTTAATGTAAGACTTTGTTTATCAAGACAAACTGATAAATCAACAAATTTACTATGAGCCATTTTTCTAATTTGTAGAGTTTTATTAAAAATTTATTATTTTTTTCAATTTTAATGAAAAGTATTATGTTAATAATTAAATATCTACTTCTAGGGAAAACATAAATCTATACGTGCAAATAAAAGACATTTGGATATTTATAGATTTTACTTTTAATGTCTATAAAATAATAGGAAAGTTATTTTTTAAAGTGTGTCCATTTCATAAATCTGATTATGTACTCCCAAATTATACTTAAAAAGAGGTAACATCTTGAGCAGCACTTGCAGCTAGATTTGTGACCACTGGCTAAATATAAATGAGTTTTAAAGAATCTGATCAGACTACATCTAGTTTCATGATACAGCTTTACTGATCCCTTTTGGACTGAAACAGTAGTGGCTCCTTGAGCGTGAAGATGAGAATGGAGAACAGTCTTACCAAAATTCAAGGCAGTTCCTGTTCAAGGGCATTAGATGTGTTCAGTGTTGTAATGTAAAATAACATTCTTTTGTGCTGGCCCCAATGACAAAGTGAAGTAAAGCCTCTAAAATTTTTACAATGGATTCATATTGCACATGGAGATGTTATATTCATAAACATGTAAATTTCAGTACTTAATTATGTTTGCAGAGTATCTTTCCATGCTAAAAATCTGCTTTATTTATTTGAAAGCCATTCGAAAGGAGGAGATTACAGTATGACTACCTTAAGAGATATATATGACTGAACAGCAGTAATAGCTGCTCATGCATAATAAAAGAACACATAAGGTTTAGTGTAGCTGAAAATATATTTCCTGTTTCTGATTAGAGTAATAAACAGTGTTACTGATATTGGACATGTCTTTTTACATTTTGATCTAACTGGGAAAATAATAAATGCAATCCTTAATGTTTAAGCAATGTCCCACCTTCAAATTAAGAAAATTTATAAATAATCTACTTTTTTCTATTGTAGTAATGAAATCTGTCACAGCTCCCTTTATCAGAAAGCCCTTAAGGCAAGCCTGTTTTAGGTTATTCTCTCTCTTTTGGGAGGGCAGGCAGGGGCAAGGGGCGTAAGGGGCTTTAGGAACCAAATTGTATTTCTGTCTCATCTCATGCATTAATATCTGTACCAGTGATAAGCTAATTTTATTTTCACATAGTAAAAGAACAGTAACAGGGCTATTCAAATAATTAGAATTCAATCTTTTTTTCACTATGCTGCCAGCTGAATACTGTCCATGTCCTGATTTTTTTCTTGATTGTAATTTAATAAGCAATTTTACTATGCAGTGTCAAGACTCCCCTTGGAATTAGATTAGGCTCACATTGCTTAGCTTGTAGAACTGTTTAGAGATCAGCCCTTGAAATGAAATCTACCCCTCGCTCACCCGCACCTACACACATGCTCTGAGTTGGCAACGGCCAACAGTTTGCCACACATTTAAAGACAGATTTGGAACTACATGTTGCAGAATGCCTCATTCTTTACCTCAAGCTATGCATAAGAGAGAGACAGTCTTCTTAAAATGCTGTCTCTTCTTTGAGCTTACAACAACAAAAGTGCTTATGGTCTGGTATGTGAAAAGACCCTGGTGAGGCAACTGACACTGACTGACATATATTGTTCAACAGGCCACACATACAGTTTTGATTTGCTCTCATTTGATTTTTTTTAATGTTATATGTTAGACATCTTTCTAAAACCAAGAGGCATTAACAATTTCTTTAATTAAATATTTAAATATATTTTAGAACTCCAGCAGAACAATGTAACCGGCCCATTATTCTACCAAGATGAAGGTCAGGATATATCAGCACTCTCAAAATACGTGATGTGAAAAATGGCAGAGGGAGCACACAAGCAAAGAAGGAAGCCTGTTAGATGCCCAGAACTTTTGGCATGCTGTGCTAGCTAATTAAAGTGAGGAGTAATACCACTGAGAACCTTAGATATAAAACTGAAGGTAAGATGTATGGATGTGCAGAGACAGCGATACACGTAAGCAGCCAGAATCACACATAGTGCATCAGACCCGTGATGCCCCAGAACTAGCAGTGATGTCAAACAATGCCTTTTTCTGTGGAAAAGCCTGTTCTATATTTTCTTTGAATGACAGACACTGCAGAGGGACTGTCACTGAGCCGGCTGCAGTTTTCTAAACGCTGAGGTGCAAACACATCAGTTCCAGATGCACAGACATCTAGAACTGACTATTTCTAGGACAAAAGCTACTGAACTATGTACACCATTAGTCTAATCTGGCACAGTAATTCCTATGCATCTGTCAGTTAGTATTTCTTTATGTATGATGTTACTGAATCATGCAATAATTTTCCATGACAGAAGTGTAGTATCTGTCTTTTTCTCC